TGAGTCCGTGGGGTGGCGCCTCCAGAAATCCCCATGGGGGACCTGGGGCTGCCTTTTCCCCTGCTGCCTATACGGCAGTTGTCGCCACTGCGTGGCTGGCGTATGTATGCCTAAGGACTTCAAAGTTGACGTAGTGTCCTTTAGGGTATGGAGCCTGGAGTCTGTGTGCTCCGAGAACAGGGCCTTCCCTTCAAAGGGCAAGTCCTCTATGGTGTGCTGCATGTCCGAGGGAATCCCCAAGACGTGGAGCCACGCTCCACGGTGCATAATGACACCCGTCGCCATGGTGCGGGCTGCCGAGTCCACGGTGTCCAAAGCCACTTGGAGGGCAGTTCGACTTTACCCTCGGAAGTCGTAGCTGCAAACTCCTGGCGGTCCTCCATCGGGAGTCAGTCTCTACATTTTTCGACTGCCTGCCAGGTGTTGAAAGCGTACCTGCTCAGCATCGCCTGTTGGCTAGCGATACGGAGCTGCAGAGCACCCATAGCGTAGACCTCGCGGCCCAACAGGTCCAGCTTCTTGGGCTCCCTTGCCTTCGGCGAAGGCCCGGGCTGGGGAAGCCTTTCTTTTTGGGCCACGGCCTGAACGACCAATGATCCTGGGATGGGCTGGGAGTAAAGAAATTTGTGACCCGACTGCGGGACGAAATAACGCCTTTCTACCCCTTTTTGGGTAGGAGTCAGAGTTGCTGGCGTTTGCCACAGGGCATTAGTAATTTTTGAAACAGTTTTATTGAGTGGTAGAGCGAAGCGCGCAGGGGTGTCCTCAGTGAGGATGTCTACCATTGGATCGGCATCCTCAATTATGGGCTCAACCGGGACAGCCAGGTTGGAAGCCATGTGCCGCAGGAGGTCCTGATGTGCTCTGGCATCCATTGATGGTAGCCCGGGCGCTGGGTCTGCCAGTGCCTCATCGGGGGAGGATGACGACATTGGATCGGTATCCTCAATTATGGGCTCAACCGGGACAGCCAGGTTGGAAGCCATGTGCCGCAGGAGGTCCTGATGTGCTCTGGCATCCATTGATGGTAGCCCGGGCGCTGGGTCTGCCAGTGCCTCATCGGGGGAGGATGACGACGACAACTCCTGGATCAACGGGAGCGGTCGTGACCAACTGCGGAGCCGGTTGGACATTCTGAGCTTCCGGAGGGCCTGTCTCCGATACCGGTGGCTGCGGTGCTGCAGGATCCTGTTGCGGCACTCGAAGGGGAGAGGTGGGCGTTCTAGACAGGGACACAGAGGGGCAGGAATGGTGCCCTGAAGCCTCCGACCCCATAGATGGTGGTGGTTGTCCCTGCCACTGATGATAGGCCCAGGGAGTCCAAAAGGGCCACTGCGGATGAGGGGGCCACATCTGCTGGTTGTGGTGCCTCCGGTGCCTGGATCTGGACCTGTGGGTCGAGGAAGCTCCTGAAGACCCTGACCGCACCGACACCGCGTCCGAATCCGAAGAGTAATCGGATTCAGGCCAAGGGGGAGCCAATGAGGAGTGTGGTGCAAACTTGGCCATCGACTCCGGTTTCTCCGCGTGGGCGCAGTGAGGACGTGCCGTTTGAGGTACCGGGGGACCCATGTCCGGTGCCGTAAAAGCCGCTGATAAGTGCGGCACCGGGGGATCCAGGCCTGGTGCAGCGAACTCCGCTGAAGCAGTCAACTGTGGCACCGGGGTGCCGGGCCCGGGGCCAGCTGCCCCGTCAGAAGCTGCGGCACCGGGGTACCCAAGCCCGGTGCCGTTTGCGACGTCATTTGCAGCACTGAGGTGCTCAGGCTAGGTGCCGGCTGCACCGCCAGCTGCGTCGCCAGTAACTGCGGCACCGAGGTGCTCAGGCTCAGTGTCGGTTGTGATGCCTGGAGTTGCGGCACCGGGGTGCCCATGCCCGGTGCCGATTGCACCGACTGAAGCTGCGGCACCGGGGTGCTCAGGCCCGGTGCCGATAGCGTGGCCAGCAGCTGTGGCACCAGGGTGCTCAGGCCCGGTGCCGATAGCGTGGCCAGCAGCTGTGGCACCGGGGTGCTCAGGCCCGGTGCCGATTGCATGGCCAGCTGCTGCGGCACCGAGGTGCTCAGGCTCGATGCCAACTGAGTCTTGCCCGACTGAAACGGTACCGGGGTGCCCAGGCCCGGTACCGGGGTAGACCACTGGGTCGATGCCGGTGCCGATGACGGCACGGAGACGGACCCAACTCCTGGAAGGGGCTATGGGGGTATGGCATCGGTACGGCCAAGTGGGGCTCTGGCAACTTGGAGAGCAACAACCTGCCATGGCTCTCCGCTCCCTGAGAATGACGATTCGGCATCGTGAAGGGTGCCGTAGTAGTAGCGGGAGCCGACCCCACCGGGGTTGGTCCCGACGCATAAGCCACTGTAGCATGCCGACCCTGGCCATGCATGGGCGATGGCGGTGCCCTCCGAGCTTGCACCGTGGGCGACCTCGACCCGTCCGAGTCAACCGACGATGGCGGGGAGGTCGTAAGTCTTATTAGGTCCTGCGCCGCTTCAAAGGTGTCCGGCGTAGACGGGCGATGAGAGGGCAGGCGACCAGGGCTCACTATACCCCCTCGGTGCCGACGGTGCACCGGAGGGGAAACACGCACCGGTGAACTGCTGGTGTGGTGTCCAGCCGACATGGGCTTCTTAGACGGAGACCTGCCCCGGGACTTCTTCACCTTCTTAGATGGTGGAGAGTGAGACCGGTGCCGGGATCTTGACGTCGATGCCCAGTGCCAGTGTGTGGCCTCACGCGTGGAGGCCGGTGCGCTGTGCACCGCAGGATGGTCCGGCGGTGCCGGTTGAAGCGCCGTCTCCATGAGGAGAAGCTTCAAGCGGGAAACTCTTTCTTTCCTCGTACAAGGCTTGAAAGACTTGCAGATTTTGCAGGCGATTGCCAAATGAGCCTCACCCAGACACTTAAGACAACTGTTGTGTGGGTCGCCCCTGGGCATAAACTTCCCGCAGTCAGCCCACGTCTTGAAGCCTTGCGGCCCTGGCATTCCTTACCCCCAAGGGGGGAAGGAACAAAAAACAACAAACCTAACTATCTAACTACACAACTATTTACAATGTAAGAAACGGGAACCATTAACTATCTAAGCCTAACAGCTATAGAGAGAGAGAGAGATGCTCCAACGACCAGCACGGCGGTAAGAAGGAACTGAGGTGGGGCAGCGCCGGCAAGGGTACTTATGCCCTGCCATGGCGGTGCCACTCCAGGGGGCACCCCGCTGTTGCTACGGGTACTGCTAGGGAAAACGCTCCGGAAGACATGGTGAACGCGGCGCGCACACCTACTTCGAATGGACATGAGCAACCACTCAAAGAAGAAGAGTAGCTCACTTATCTAGAAAAACAGGCCATCAGGCTAAGCTTCTGTACTCTAGTGACATTGAGCTACTTGAGCCTCAATGTTTGCTTTTACTAGCAGTCTGGGGCTTCTGATGAGCAGTTGTGTATGTAGGGGAAATCAGAAATACCCAGTGAGCAGGAGAAAAGTAAAAAACTAACATGTGAAAAAGCAACAGTTTAAAAATGGGCAAAGAGAAGGACAGAGAAAAGGAAATAGAATAGACAGAAGGAAAAAAAGTGAAAAAATGAACAGAAAAAAAAAGAGATGGTAGCAACTGTCAGGACATGATATGAATAGATAGAGGAGGAATGCCCAACCTGTTAGATGAGGTGACTCAATTAAAAAAAAAAAAACGCCCAGTCCATAAAAAATGTGTTTAAAGTTAGCATTTAAAAAGAGTGACTGGAAACATAACAATAGCTTTTTCTGCTTTCTGACCAAAACCAATACAATATTTCAGCCAGGGTATATCCCTTAGATGTCATTTGGCCTCTTAACTTAATTTTCTTTGGTTCTTGCATAGATGACTAATACTGTTTCCTGGCAATATCATATGACTATATGCTGTCCAAAATACTTAGTGGAAAATTAAGGAATGTTAAAGGAAAACATCAAAGCAAAGAAGGCCAATTTATTTTTCAGTTAAAATGGTTGGCTCTTAAAATTGTGCATACACTTTTCAGGTTCTACTGAAATGATCTTGCTAATCGCCCTGTCATTTTATTGTAGATTTATCATGAAGAAGTAATTGAGCATTTTTGAGATTTCACAATAATTTGTTAATTGTTTTGAGCAGATGATTGCATGAACTAACTTACTCAATTTTTTGTTTCTCTCCCTTCTCTCTCCTTTTCAGGATTAGTGGTTGGGTTTATCCTATCTGTTGCAAATTTCAGCTTCTTCACTGCCCTGCTCATGTTTTTTCTTACTTCTTCAAAACTTACTAAATGGAAAGAAGATGTAAAGAAGCAGATAGATTCAGAATTCAAAGAAGGTAAACACTAAGAACTATTCTAAGAGACAACCTGTAAAGAAGATACTGTATTTTGCCTGGTACTTGAAAGTTAGAGATGTTACAGTTAGAGATGTCAGCCTTTCCAGGCTACTCTACCCATTTCATTAGTCTGATTTGTCTTGTACACCCCCAAGTTTCACTTATAAACTACTTGCTTACAAAATCAGGCATAAAAATCAAAGTACCACAGTACGCTATTACTGAAAACATGCTTACTGCCTCCTTTCGACTACATGAAGTAAATCAATTGGAATATAAATACTATACTTGCATTTCAGTATATAGAGAGGTATAAAGTAATAGTTTGTATGAAAATTTAATTTGGACTTATTTCGCTAGGTCTTTGTATGTAGCTTGTTGTAAAACTTGGCAAATATCTATATCCAGGGGTACATGCACAGACAGGGTATGTCTAGACTGCACCTCTCTGTTGGCAGAGGGATGCAGATTAGGCAAATCGACATTGCAAATGAGGCAGGGATTTAAATATCCCACACCTAATTTGCATAAAAATGGCCACCACGTTTTGCCGACTCAGCACTTTGTTGGCAAAAAGCGGCAGTCTAGAGGGGGATCTGTCGAGGAAAAAAAGCCTTTTTCGACAGATCCCTTATGCGTCTAGCAAGGAGGTTTACGGGATTTGTCGAAAAAGGCTTTCTTTCTCAACCGATCCCCCTCTAGACTGCCGCTTTTTGCCAACAAAGTGCTGAGTCGGCAAAACGTGGTGGCCATTTTTATGCAAATTAGGTGTGGGATATTTAAATCCCTGCCTCATTTGCAATGTCGACCTGCCTAATCTGCATCCCTCTGCCAACAGAGATGCAGTCTAGACATACGCACAGAATAGAGAATACCAAGTGAAGCATTCTTATCCTTTTATCCCCATCCTGGACTACAAGCAAGGTGCTAGCTAGTGAATCATTTAATAGTAATAAACTAAAAATAGTGATTGTAGCTTAGATATTCATGTTGGTTTTTAGGCTGTGTGTATTTTGGGGGGATTTGCGCTTTATTTGCTTTTGATGTGACTGTCAGGTCTCTCTGTTACAGATGAAAATACTCAAATGTTTTTGTTTTAATGCAGGTGGGCAGAGGAATTGGGTGCAAGTATTCTGTAATGGTGGTGTCCCTACGGAGCTAGCTCTTCTGTATATGATAGAAAATGGACCAGGTGAAATTCCAATAGATTTTTCCAAGCAGTACACTGCATCGTGGATGTGTTTATCCCTTTTGGGAGCTCTGGCCTGCTCTGCTGGTGATACCTGGTCTTCAGAGATTGGCAGTGTCTGGAGTAAAAGTGAGCCAAGGTTAATAACAACCTGGGAAAAGGTGCCAATAGGTAAGACCTTGCTGATTTGCACATTGGTGTCTTTAATGCATCATTTTCTTCTGGGACCCTTAACACATAATATGAAGTTTTGTGTAGTAAAATATGTATTTTGACATAGTATTTACTACATTCTGTTTGTCACTGGCAGTAATCATTTTCAAAAAAGATTGGATTGAGAGAGAGCTAAGCAGATAATTGGGGATGGGGGAAGGGAAGTTGTTTTTTGTTTTTGTTTTGTTTTGTTTTTTGTTTCGTTTCTACACGCAGGGTCAAAAAAATTCCAAAAATAACTTGGTTTGGTTTGGTTGAAAGGGAAACTGTTACATTCCCCCCCCCCCCCCCCACCCCCACACACCCAAAACAAA